TCAGATGACTAAGCTTTCACTTGCTAGCACCGTTTCACGAGTACTTCAGATACTGTCTTCCACCCTATACAATACTCTAATTTCCAATGCAAAAAATCTAATTAAAAGCAAAAAAAAGAGTAAAGCTTTTCCTATATCATAAAGAAGCCATTTTATACACTGGTAGACAGCTCTGAAATACAGGAAACATATTTGCCTTACCTAAAGAACACTAGTTTGTTTAGTCAGGACACCCTACGTTAATACAGTGATGCTAAATGTCTCTTCCCAAGTATTCTAGAATGCCGTCAAAGTTTTCTTCAGATGTTTTACTTATACAGTGTTTCAAATATATTTCAAAATTACTTTATAGATGGACTGATTTTGATCAAATAGCTTAAAAAATTGATTAATAACTTTAGGAAAACAGGTATCTAAAACTACTAGATATTATTTTTCCTTTAATAAAAATGTCTAGGTTAAAGGTAAACATCCACAGACTAATGTGTTTGGTGTCTCAACTCTACCTTCACCAGAAGCTGCCAATCCAAAAGAAGAAATCTTCAGATTAGCCATGGTTTCTGTCAATTGATGTACCTAAAGATGGGACGAATATCAGCAAAAAGTAAACTACACGTGATAAAAAAATAAAAATCACTGCTTCAATAGTTCTATGGGAAATACTACTACAAAAGCCTTGTCTCCCCTACAGAAGTAGCTAGGATGTGTTTATAATGGAAAATATTATGGCAGAATTTGATTTTCAGCACCACACTGAAATAAAATTTATTAGACAGTAGTTTAAGAATAAACTGTAAAAATAATTTCTGGGAAAAAAACGGCATATGTCAGACCCTACATTTAAGTTTTGCTAGGTATTTCTAACAGCCCCAATCCAGCAAGTAGAACTACATGATCACTATTGCACAGAGTCTATTCTCCAACCTGTATGGAAGCACTGGATCTAGACATTGGGCCAGGGATCCCATTATCATTGATGCCATCTTGTGATTTGGTACGGGGATTTTTTTGTTTGTTTGTTGTTTTTTTTTTTTTAAACTTTCCCAAATTTACTTATTTAAAGGTTTTTCTTCTACAGGAGATAATTATGGTATTTCTTGCACCACTACTACAAAAAGATACCAGAACTGAACTATATGCCTGAAAGGTCCAAAGTATTGCACCTATCCTCTTTATATGAGCTGCACAGAGGCTATCTAGTACTTCATCCTGGCAATTAAAGTTCCTGATTGTCTGTTAAAAGCAAGCATGTCAGCAGCATGCTTAGTTTCACAAGTCAAAACTATTTGTAATATAGAAGTTTGGTGACTGAAAATAATGTCTTTGAAAAGTTCTTATATAAATCAGAAACATTCCTCAGGAGATACTAAGCATGTGAGTTCCCATCATTTTTTTTTTTTTTGCAATTTGAAGTACATTCATTTTAGCAGACATTCACTAGTATTTTCTTGTTCGGTAATTCAGCTTGTCAAATACAATACAATTTTAACAGATCAATTTTATTCTTCAGATTTATATTGCTTTTTTCAAGAATGCTGCAATATTTCTGGAGAATATGCTTGCCATTTCTGTAGTGTTAGACATCCCAACTTACTACTTATAAATAGATACTATATGTAAGATAGATGAGCACATAAAATTCTTCACAACAGCTACAAACTAAACAACAAAAAAAACCCCTCCTGTGACCAGAAACAGGAATTTAACAGATGGGCCCAGTTATGATATTTTTTTAGATTAAAAAGACTAACTTTGGTTTAATCAGAACAAGTCATTAAAAAAAAACCCCACACATACAGTTTTTGTAAAAACTATATCACTACCAGTACTATCTATGTACAAACATTTGCTGTGCTAATCTACACACAAAGCTGAAATTCTCTTATTTCTTGTATTTGACAACTTTTAAGTAATACTAAATATCAATACTTGTTTACATTTAATCCTTTAACTGAAAAAGAGACAAAACAAGTTTAACAAGGGTTTTGTGTACTTGAGGTTCTTTAACTACTGCTCACTGCCTAACCCCACCTCACATAGACATTCTTATAAACCACCTCATCTGCATCCAGGAATAATAATGTTCAAGGGTTGTATGACATATTCCCAGAATTAGACCCTGGTATTGCTTTATTTACCCTTATTAGTTGTCCACAGACCAGGCAATAAACCAAACCATTCTCTTACTTGTACTGACTGTAGAAAAAGAAAGTTGAGTAAAGCCTATTGTGGCCAAGAAAAAAGGTAACATTTGGAGGCATTTTTCAGGCTAGCAGCATGATTTAATAACCAATTGGGAAAAGCAATAATGAAGTACTAATCTTCAAAATAATTGTTACAAAATTTAATCAGTATTCAGGGATAGGTTTTATTTTAACTTTTTTTTTTTGTCTGGAGTGGAAGAGGGAATGGAAGGAAAAGGGAGAAGGCTGGGCATAAGCATGTAGAAAAGCATTTCAACAGACAACACTGCAACTACAAAGTTCTACTTAAATTTTTCTGTTTTTGTTTTAGGATGTAAATAATACACTAACTAGCATGAACTAATTAATGCCTTTACCAATACTAGACCAAACTGGAGAACAATAATATTGACAAGAAATACCAGGCATCTATGAACTGGATTGTGCAGCTTATAAAATACTTTTCAGTTTTATAACAGAAAAAATCTACAATATTTTATTCTACTAAATCTTAATATTTTACTCTAATGTAACATTTTTTAAACTAATGAATGAGTTCTTATATGATTAAGAACCACACAATAAGAATAAAGTATTTTAACTCAGCTATGTAAGATAGGACAGTACTTTGTTTTTCTCTAAATCTAACTGCATTTACGTAAGAGTGCACTGACAAAAAAGGCATTCTTTTCTTTTTGAAGTTTAAAGTGGAGAGTAATTGTTTTAAGTTTCACTTTGTATTCTCCCTTTCTTGGTTTAAAAAAAAAAATAGTAAGAATCAAGGCCCTTGCTATGATATTAACTTTCACTTACTGTTCACAGATGCAGAGATCTGTGCACTACAGAATCTAGTGTTTTCCCTGTTACCTTGTTGGTCAAACAAATTAATTCACAAATAAAGCAGAGTATTCAGTTCACTATCAATAGAACACATCATAAAAAGTGGATGTTTACCTCCTAGCTTGTGACTGTGCAAGCTTCACACAACCGATTTCTTAACAAAACCATCTATATAGAAATACTTTATCGATATAAAATAAACTAAACACAAGTAGCTATTTGTAGTATAATCAGATGACAGAAGTGGATTGTGATGAGATGCCAAAAAAGTAGTCAAAATTATTTGTTTAGGGCAGAGCTATATACGCCACAGAACTTTTTATAAATACACTTGTTAATTTAGGTCAATGTGTAACAGTTCATCACAAAGAAATTTATTAATTGCACTATATGATAAAGGCTCATTCCTGCAAGCTTTCCATGATGCTTTCCTGACACATGATGAATAAAATTCTTTATTAACAATGCCTTTTGAGAGTGGCAGAATGCTAATTCAGCAGTTGCACACAACACACCCAGAACTTGGATGCTGGTAAAACTTCCAGCTTCAACTGCATTAGCTCCCCTCTCTTAAGCCTATAGGATTGTTACACTTAGGTGCCGCTAAGTATCCACTTCAAGCTTTCAAAATGGAACATTCACATGAAGTTCTCTCAAAGAGTAGAAATTCCCATAGTAGCCACGATCTATTGTAAAATCTGTAACTGATCAACTACCGCTATCCATTTACCCTGCCTTCACTGGTTCTTAATGTAAGCAGTTTCCATTTTCAAATCTTTTAGAAGACTGACCTCCTGATACAAAATTTTTAAACTCTCTACTGATGCTTTGTAACCATTATGTAAGAGTACCTGTACGCTAACGTAATTATTTCAGATTTCAAGCAGCTTGACTGACACCTACATAATGAAATTATGCAATAGCAATATTAAGCAATAGCTTTAAAAAATGCAAACTAAGGAATGCTGCAAACAAAATCAGTATGTTCAATTAAATGTTAAATAATAAATTTGCAGAATAGGACTATACAAATTTGATTCAACATCAATGATGGTGTTCATTAAGAAAATGCTTCTTGGTTTAACAGTGTGTTAGAATAAAACTCCTAGTGTTTAGGAGTGAGTAATGTTTTTCAAGGCAGTCACTATGTACCATACAGTATGTTTTCTTAGCAATCAGAAAAACAGAAAGGAAGTTACGGGTTTTTTTATAACTTAAAATACAACTACAATGGGCACTTAAGATGTATAGCTTATCCATATACTATGGACAACAAAAACGTGTTGACCAAATAAAGTATCAATAGGAGAGCATAACATGCAAAGAATTAGAACTTCACAGACATTTCATCAATCCCAAATGATGGCAGAGAGACAGTAAAATGTCAATGGAATCAGGTTTGGAACACGGAGTCACAGAGAAGGGGTGGTGTGTGTGTGTATTTTCAAAACCTTCAGTCATTTTTTTGATTCATCACATGAATTAAAAAAAAACAACCAGCAAAACAAACAAAAACCCACAAGCCAAAACCCTAAAACCAAACCCACAAGCCAAAACCCTAAAACCAAGACATTGAAGTAACACTGAATTTCTGACATAATTCCAGTCCACACAGTAACCTGAATTCATTCTAGGGTGCTTGATATTCAGAGAGCTTCACTGACTCAATTTTAGACACCTATACAGTTGTATTGTAATAAAACAACATTGAAAAAGGGAATCCAAGTTTAAGTTTTCATCCTTAATCACTCACTGCGAAAATTATTTGAACACTAACTGCATGTTAGCAACCTGCTGTATATAAAGAAAACAGGCATACATCCACTTCATATAACCAAATCCAACCCATAAACTGCATCATAAAAACCCCCAAGTTCTGCATTTTCTATCTGTCAGTTCTAAAGTTACCTTATACTCGTTTGCAGTAATCTGCTCTGGTTCTTTTCTCTTCTTTTTTCCTTTTTTATCCTTGGTGCGCTGAGTACTAGAGGCCTGGTAAGACTGCAGATCCACTCGTGAGTGAAACTGGTATCGGCCACTTTCCACATCACAGTAATAATAAATTCCTGTTGCTGGATCATAATACAGTTGATTTTCCTTTATAAGAAACAAAGAACAACGTTATCATTACTTCAATAAATACATTGTCCAGAGAAACATCCAGTTAATAACCATACACTAAGTTTAAAAAAATACTCAAACATACTAAAGAACTGTGGTGGCTTGACCCTGGCTGGCTAACAGGTGCCCACCCAGCCACTCTCTCAATTCCCCTCCCCAACAGCACTGGAGAAGAAAATAAGATTAAAAGCTCATGGGTCAAGATAAAGACATGACGGGCATGCCAGATTTGACTTGGTGGAAATAAATTTAATTTATTGCCAGTTAAAAGAGTGCTGGAAGATGATAAAGACAAAACACCTCTCCCTGCCCTTTTTTCCTCCCAAGCTCTACTTCACTCCTTCACTCCCAGCTCCTCTACCTCCCTTCCCCCTGCCCGAGCAGCACAAGGAGACAAGGAGTGGGGGGCTGCAGTCAGTTCATAGCAGTTCCTCTCTGCTGCTCCTTCCTCCTTACACTTTTCCCCTGCCCAGCATGAGTCCTTCCCACGGGTTGCATCCTTCAAGAACTGCTCCAGCTTGGGCCCTCCACGGGCCACAGCTCTGGCAGAGCGAACATGGTCTCACATGGGCTCTCCACGGGCCACAGCTCCTTAAGGAGCTGCTCTGCTCTGGGGTCCTCCACAGACTGCAGTGTGGATATCTGCTCCAGCGTGGTCCTCTTCCACAGACTGCAGGGAACTGTTTGTTTAGAGAAGGAGTGGGAGAAGGTTCTCCTTGACCTTGCTGTTCACAGGGTTGTTTCTCACAGTGCCCCCCTTTCTCCATCCCTCTGCCACATACACACTCCACTGTTGCAGTGTTTTGCTCTTTTTTAAACATGCTTTCATAGAGGCACCACCAGCTTCTCTGATGGGCTCAGCTGTGTCCTGCGGTGGAACCAGCCATGTCCAGGCAGCCCCTGACCTCTTATCGCAGAAGCTGCCTCTGCAGCCCCCAACCCCACTACCAAAACCTTGCCAGTAAACCCAATACAAGAACATTTCCTGTAATTCAGAACAGTTTCTGAATAAGAAAATATCTTTTGTGTAATTGTACCATAAACTGTAATCTACAGCCCTAAACATTTATCTATCTAGTTATATCTACAAACTATGTGAACAGCAATGCTATCATGTAAGACTTTATTTTTCAAAGTATCTCTGAAAACAAAACAAGTAGTTTTGTATACCATACACTTCCCCCCCCTCCAATTGACTTGAATGTCAATGTAATGCTGCAAACAAAACCTCTGTTTTCATCACACTAGTTCCACTGGGCTTTGTGACAGTGTATGGATTTATATATGCATGTACATATACACACACTTCATAGGACACAAAGAAAACCTCCCCAAAAGCCCTCTTATGAAAAATGTATAGCAGAAACAACTATTATGACATTTTTCTAAAGAAGTATTTCTTTCTCATAACACGAAACTAGTTGGTAACCACACTCAAGTAAAAGTACAAGTATTTTGTGTATTTTCTCTCAACATGCTTTTCACTGTGGAAGAGCCACTGACTTGTTCAGCAATCTTTTTCTAAAAAAGTCATCTTTTAGGTTAAGTTTTTAATTTTGATAGTTACAGAGCAGCTTTATAGTATAAAATTTCTACAATGCCAAGCAAGTTAAAGTAGGAGACATCAAAAAGAACTGCATTAAAATCTGAATTTATATCTCAGCCTGCTATCTTTAATTTGACTGAAATAAGTCAACAACTAATTAACAAACTTCCATTACTATTAATCCTCAGTAACATGTTTTTCAAATCATAAAGCCAACTTGGATCTTAGGTCTTAACATCAACTTTTACTAATTAAACTTTGCAATAGAGAAAAAATGCCAAGGGTTTTGAAAACGATCCTTACCGAATTATAGTAGAATCCTGTACTATGGTCATAATACAGTCCTGTATTTTCATCATAAATAAAGCCGGTTTGTGAAACAGCAGCTTCTGCAGCAGCTCTCAAGCTCTCTGCCAAAGAACCCTCTGGTACTGAAGTATCTTCTGCTTCCTGATACCAGAAAGTAAGAAATTAAATTTTCTTCTAAAAAGAACCTCCTTGGTTCTTTAACATTTTACAGTGCCCTATTTCAAATAAAACAAATTAATGCTCTGTGGACTTGGATTGATTCAAGAACTGTTAAACAAGAAGGCAAAAATCTAGCTGTAGTTTACAGATAAAACTCCTACTGATTTCAATGGGACCAAGTCTTCATCCTGTGCCTTTTGTTTTCCCCAATTTTTGAATAAAAGTCATTCACACGAAAAATATACACAGTGAATCTCTTTCAGTACATTCCTAAAATAGATTTCTGCTCTCCTTTTCATTTCAGTTGCTAGATGCTAAGGCACAAAAGCCTTAAGCAAGTGAGATGGAGCGAATTATCGAAGAGAAGGCTGCATAGCAGGGGGAAAAACCCCGTAACAAAATAAACAAATAACCCCCCCAACAACTGTCATCTTATATGTTGCCTCCTTATATCAACGGAGGAAAAAAAAGTACACTTTAGGACAGTTAGCATGGCAATATTAAACATATTCTGCTGACAAAAAAATGCCATGCTTCCAGGCTATATAGGACATAGGGTTTAGAATGTGCCTTGCTTTTTTTTTTTAAAATGAAGAGTATGTTACACTTCGAGCATATTACAAGAAGAACTAGTTTCAAAGCACGAGGATGTTTGTCTGCTATCATTAGCACCACACCATCACAAAAGTAATTTCATACAATACCATCAAGACCAAAAGCTCATCTTTTAAACTAAATGAAATATTAAGAGAGTGCTGACTTCAACATTGGTAAAACTCCAATACTGGTACAACCTGTGAACTCTGGACAAAATTTTCCTCTTCTCCACCATCAGCAACTTTGGTGGTATCCATCCTTAATGGAATACTAGCACCTGTCTGTGATTCCTCTCTGGAGTTATGCTCAGTGCCTTCAGTCCCATGATTGTGCTGCACTGGCAGTTCAGATGCACAATCTTGAGCATCAGTGTGATTGTAGTAATTTTCATAGTAGTAATAATCTGCAGGGGGGAAAAAAGTTGAAGTTGCATAAATTAGCAAAGCAGTATTTTACACCATGCAGTTCAAAGATCCTAAATCTTAAAATTCATGCATATAAGTAGTCTAGTGAAAATCAATTATTAGGTAGTACCCCTGCTTTGAATTTCTTCTACTCTTCCTAAACAAATTAGGTCTTGTTTTAATGTTGTCATGGTTTAGCCCCAGCTGGCAACTAAGCACCACGCAGCCACTCGCTCACTCCCAGTGAGACAGGGGAGAGAATTGGAAAAGTGAATAAACTAGTGGGTTGAGATAAAAACAGTTTAATAGGACACACACAAAAAGGAAGACAGTAATAATATACACAATTCAAGTGATGAACAGTACAATCTATTATCACCTAGCACCTGAAGTTGATGCTATGCAAGACCCTCAGCTGCCCAGCATCCCAGCCCACACGTGCAAGCAACGCAAGTCAAGGAATTCATTCACCACTTCCCACCAGCAGGCAGGTGTTCAGCCATCTCCAGAAAAACAGGGGTCCATCATGTACTTGGGAAGACAAATGACATCATCCTGAACACCACTGTGAAAGACCCTCAGCTACTGCGCTGAGGTGCAGGCCCCCAGCTGCTACGTCTCTCAGTCCACCCCCAGTTATAAATGGAACATGACATCACGTGGTCTGGAATATCCCTTTGGCCTGTTTGGGTCAGCTGCCCAGCTTCTTGAGTGCCCCCCCACCTTCTCATTGTCAGGGCAGTATGAGAAACTGGAAAGTCCTGGACTACTTGGCAACAACTAAAACATCAGTGTGTTACCAACATTGTTCTCATCCTAAATCCAAAACGCAGCACTATACCAGCTACCAGGAACAAAATAAACTCTATCCCTACTGAAATCAGGATAAATGTACTTTAAAAATCGGTAAAACATGTATGTGTGTAATGTATGAGATTACTATGTAACCGATTGCTATGGCATGAATTCTGCCACAGTCCATGCTACATTTTATCCATCCAAACGAATGGCTTGAAAAAAATAGGAAATGGTCCCAAAGACAAGTCAGGTTACTGAGTTTAATGCAGCTAAGGATACAGACATGAAATGCATTTTATATTTAAAAAAATTTCAAAATAAGAAACCATTCTAGATGCCTGTCACCAGGCAGTCACCACTCTCTCTACCTGCTTGTGACCACGCAGCATAGTCCTCTGTCTGTACTTCTATGCTAGACGTATCTTTCTCCTTCCTATTATGGATTTCGTTAGTGAGCTCTTCAACCTGAAAGAAAAACACCATGTTACAGAACACAACACTGCATTTTAGGGGTCTATGTCACAAAAGACTATCAGCCTGTCTGACATTCTGTAATTCAAACAAAACATAACTGCATCATAGCTATTTCAATTGATCTTTGTTTTGCAGGAAGCAATTTTCTACTTGAATGGTTGCCATACTGAAAGACATATTTTCTGCTCACAAAGGGTATAATAAAGGCAAACACTTGGAAGGAAAATGAAAAGCTTAACTTAAAAGCTTAAGCAAGTTTATTTTTAAGATGCTCGCCCTGAAAAGTTTAATTTCAAGTAATAATCACTGTTCTGTGGTTACAAACTGTGGCATTTACAAGACTTCCCGATTTCACCATAAGCATCCACGGGACCGTTCTTCCACCCTTCCTTTACCTCACCTCGCTTATTAAGCTTTTCTCCTTCTGCTAAATGCAGTTTTTCCTTCTGACTGCAAAACCAGCTTTGTGGCTAAGACGACAGGATCATTCTCCCCACCACCGCCACCCCCGGTCGGTCCAAAC